AGGTACTCGAATGAAACTGCCAGTCCGCCTTCTTTTACATCCTATGTGCATTTACTTCATGTTCTGTTTGTGATCCTTTCCTTTTCTCACCTTATTTGATTCTTTTTGGCTACAGTACCTGTGAATGGTTACATAGTAGGCTGCTTTTAGACTTTACATATTTTGAGTGGGAGCTAAGTATGCAGATAGTCAATCACGGAGTACACTTAGCGCCACGGCACTGCTTCTCGTCTCTCCCTGAGCGGTTGTGTGTTTCTTGAGGTGGTTGTTGAGACGGTTAGTAGTAGTCCCGGCGCTAGTGGTTGGATTGAGATTTCTTTGCTGAGAGTCACTTCGCGTAGATTTCCCACTTTTCTTCTTCTGATGTGGTTCTTGGCACTAGGTTCTTGCTTTGCTAGCAGTGCTGGTTAGGTCTTTGGTTCTGGGCATTTGGTACTAGTTCTGCTAGTACGATTCGTAGGGCCTTCGTTTGTAGGTTATTTATGGCACTGTGGGAGGAATTGTGCCGGTTTTGTCGACATTTTTAGATGCGCTAGGGATTTGTGCCTGCTGCGCTGTATCGGACGCAGTTGCAATTTAGAGACTCTCGTAATCTTGTCGAGTGCTGTTCTAGGTATTTGAGACTGGGTACTTGTGTTTCGATATTAGGAAGGGTTTGACATTCTGCCTACCGGGACACATGGAAGTGTATTTTCTGAAAGTGGTAGCTCTTCAAGCACAGTATACAGTGATGCAGGGTCACCCATGCCTTGAGTGGCGTGGGGAGTGTTCCACGCTCGACCTGTGGTCATCCTGGGAACTCCTGCTCACATCTTCAGCACTCACGTACTATCGGCAGAATCCGGGGAATCAACATGATGAAGAAACGAGACTTCAGCTGGGTATGCAAAACCCTGAAGACCAATGGGCAGCCGCGCCATTAGCGGGAGTGGGAGACTCACTAGTGGCGGTGGGAACGTTTCCCAGGCGCAAAAGGGTAAAACATTTCCCAGCAAAACCGCGTTGGGAGACACAGTGGTGATTCACCTTCCAAGAGTGTCTGTTCTCCAAGAGCAGGAATAGTGACACAGGGTCACCCATGCCTTGAGTGGTGTCGGCACTGTCGGGAGTGTCCTACACTCGACCTTGTGCCTTTCTGGAAAATCCGGCTTATGTCTTCTCCTTCGCATATTCTGTGGTTGCAGTTATTCACCTCTTCCTCCCCTTGAATTCCCTTGAGTCCCCTTCGACTTTCTATGGGCCTCGTTCCACACCGCTACAAAACCTTCACTTTGTAAGGGCGCCCTTACGACGAAAATGTGATTAATTTTCCCTTACCCCGTTTTTCGTTCCACAACCACTTACGAAAACCCTACACTTTGTCGCACTTACATTTCAGGTGCCCCTGTTTGTACCTAATGCGGCCGAGAAGAGAATGCGAGTGTCCGACCCGGTGTTGCGGCGGACGAAATCGTGTCCGCCACCTTTGGGCCCGTGGGAGACCCGGGCCAGGCATTTCTCCAAGGTGGGTGTGGCCCTGTCGCGGGCACTCATCCATCATTACGCCAGCGCACGTGGCTTCGCGTGACTGCCATGTGCCTTGTTTACACAGCGGAGTCCAGCTATGGACAGCGGTGGGTGCGATGAGGCGGCGACGAGGAGATTGTCAACCACTGAGAAGAGCATGGTCCCTAGTGCTGTCCTCGCGGTGTGCCGATACATGGAGACGGTGAACGGATTGCGGTGGGCGGCTGGGAGGGGTAGATGGAGGAGGGAGGCCGCCATAGCCCAGGCGTTGGCAGACGTCTGCACGCCGTCCGGTGTATCAGACGCTCCTTTCCTGTTGTCCAACGACACTCGCACGCCCGCCTCCGTGGGGACCCCTGGAACAGTCACGTCCACACACAAGCCAAAACGGCTAACCACAGGGACTGCAGGACCACAGCCGGGCAACCGCGCTACCCGTTGGAGGCTACCGTGGGACGGCCGTCCCACGGTGTTATAGCCCATACTTCTTTTGCCAAAAGTGTTTCTATTTTAGAAAACATGCCGGTGCCTCCTGAGTAGTAATGATATTGTACTGACATAGATTTGCCTTGCAATTTTTTATTATTTTTTTGGACATTCGTCTAAGGGACACTGGACCCGGTTTCCAGGAGCCCAAGCTGAGTAACGGCCTCAGCAAGTTTGTACCGGGTTGATATGTAGGGGTGTGTTCCCGGGCCCCGG